ACTTGTTGAACACCATGGGCCCCCGGAAAGAAAAATACATAGGCAATAGATCAAAATCAAGTCTGAACTCTCTCAAGAAGCAAAAATAAACAAGCTGAGGCTACTACGCTTTGGACATAGTATGAGAAGAGAAGATTCATTGGAAAACATGTGACATAAGGGAAGGATGAAAGCAGCAGGAAAAGAGAAAGATCAAATATGAGACAGATTAACCCAAGAAAGGAAGCTATGACTTCTAGTCTGCAAGACTTAAACAGGGCTATTAATTATAGGATCTTTTGGAAGGCACTAATTCATAAGATTGTCCTACATTGGAAGTGGCTTGATGACATATATAACAAGAGGATGCCATCAAAAGTTGAAGAAAACTTGTCAAAATACCATTAAAAGTTCCTGGAAATTCCTTTTTAAAGTGACTTTTGAAACCAGTGAGAAAATATTACTTGTTGCATCAGTAACAAACATCTGTGCTCATTGCATTCTCGTTACTGATGGAATGTAACTTCAGTGTACCCTTGTTACCCACCATGAAAGGAACTAATTATAGGTAACTGTGGTTCGTATCACGTCATTGTCAAGCTCTGGGTTTTGTTATGAATTCACCAGATCCTTGAAGCTGTCTCTCCGAGCCCAACACCTCTCTCTTCACGGCTTTGTATGTTTGCCCCTCTCTTGAAGTGCAAGCTGATGTTTTCCAACTGAGCGCCGGTCTCGTAAAGAGCAGCTAAGATGACAAACTTTCGTGAGGTGCTGTTTCAGTTGCCTGTTAGAGAAACACGAGGAGGAAGGAAACATGCTGAAAATCCCAGTGCAATAGTTTACGCTCCTGTAACCAATGCGGATGCACGTGTGCATGGACACATGGGTGCAGACAAGTACAGGAGCTGACTTGCTATGGCATATTTATCAGGCAAGAGGAATAGGTTCCTGCTTGGTCAGGAAGGGAATCCTTCTCAGTGGAGCTCTACCAGTATTTATCCTTGGGCAAGAGAAAGATGGAAATATTTCTGAATACTGTAGATGGGACATCCTTCAAAGTGACATTGGGGTTATTATCTGCAATGAATTGAAGGATACAGTGGTGCCTCGCAAGACGATTGCTTCGCATAACGACAAATTTGCTTTACGATGAGGTGTTCGGAGCGATCTTGCGCTTCATTTAACGATGTTTCCTATAGGCGATTTTCTCTTTACAATGTTAGGGACCTTGCCTCGCCAGACAGTTAAATTTTAGGTCCCTGTTTTTTGCTTTACAATGTTTTTGACAGCTTGGTCTTGCTTCGCTATACGAGTCTTTTAATGGTCTCTGTTTTGTTAGACGGCTGTTTTCGCTTGGGAACCGCGTTTCGCTTAACTATGTTTCCTATGGCAATTCTCGCTTTATGATGACAATCCGTTCCCATTGGAACAGATTATCAGGTTTTCAATGCATTTCAATGGGAAAACATGTTTCGCAAGATGATGTTTTTCCTTAACAGCTATTTTCGCTGAACAAATTAACATCATCTTGCGAGGCACCACTGTACTGGGAATGTAGTCATATAAAGATGGAGTCTGTTAGGTTCTGTGTAAGATGAGCTAAAACCAATGGCATGTGTGAGGCTGTTTTTTGCAGAGCTGACTGGTACAGAAGATGAGAAGGCAAGGCCGAAGAAGCCAGACAGGAGACACCAAAGAAGAATATCGCTTAATGAGAAGCGAGATAAGGCACCTGTGGATCTCATGTGAAATATGGGTGGAGAGTCGTGTTTTAAGCTTTCTTGCAATTAATTGGATGACAGCTAGAAAGGGTCAGGAAGAAGGAGGTCTTAGACATGTAGAAAAATGATTGTTTGTGTATGTATAAAGTTGGTTCGTAGCATGTGGAGTAATGCTTGGAGACTGTAAGAGAAAAAAGGTTTGCCTTTTGAAAAGAGGAGGAGTAAATAGCCCAGCTTAGAAGTCAAAATGATTACTTAGCTTAGATTTTAGTTGTTTTTATTTTAATTAGAAATAGCAGCTTTGTTTAACCATTGTAATGGATGGATTGCCTTCACGGATTGCTGCCTTGTCATGGCAAAGGGGCTTGAGTAATTCAGACAAGCTATGGGCTATGCTGTGCAGGGACACCCAATACAGACAGGTCATAGTAGAGAGTTCTGACTAAACGCAATCCACCTGGAGTAGGAACTGGCAAGCCACTCCAGTATCTTTGCCAAGAAAACTCCATAGACAGAAACAAAAGGCTAAAAGATATGATGCTAGAAGATGAGCCCCTCAGGTTGGAAGGCATCCAACATCCTACTGTGGAAGAGCAGAGATCAAGTACAAATAGCTCCAGAGCTAATGAAGCTGAAAGGACGCTCAGCTGCAGACGTGCCTGGAAGGGAAAGAAAAGTCCGATGCTGCGACAACTGTATTCTAATAGAAACTACTTTATTTTCTTAATAAAACAAATATAATCCTTACAGAAGACTAGTTTCTTGAAACAGCAGGGTTTACACCTAAATCTGGTAGAGATTAGAGAAAGTCCCTAAATTGCTACTATATTTGAGTGGTCCTGCTTTACCAGACTGTTGTTTTGTTTAAGGAAACGCAAAGTCAATGCTTGATTGCTTTGTAAGTAAGCAAAGTTTTCTTTTAAGGTCAAGATAGTCCATGAGGCTTATGCTACGCACTTCTGAGGCTTAAAGGACCTCAGAGATAAAGGTGGTGGTTTTGCACTCACAGGAAAGTCCTGGTGCCTTCTTGAGATGAAAGAATCCCTGTATTCTTCTATTTCCCAAGAAACAGTTGTTATTAGACAACTCAACATGTTGGCAAAATTAAAATTAAGTTATAATACTATTACTACTACTACTAATGTTGGAACTACAGTGGTGCCTCGCACAACGAGCGCACCGTAGAGCGATGAATTCGCTCTACGGTGACGCTTTTGCGATCGCTAAAGCGATCGCACAACGATGGCCCCAATGGGCGAAAATCGCAGAGCGAAGGTCAGTAAGCTGCTCGCTTACCGACCTTCGCTTTGCGACCCGCCGATCAGCTGTTCCCACCGAGAGGGCATTTTGCAGAATACTTGAATGAATCGTCTCTACTATTCTTCCCCTTAAGAGAATATCATTGCAGCCCATATGGTTTCTTAGAATTATACTTAGCCAAAATCTTTTGCTTCCCATAATAAATTGCATTAGAATAGGCCCATTAAATCCACAGGGATTTAATGAGTCAACTCTTCCATCAAGTTCCATTGATTCAAAAAGGTTTACTCTAACTGTAACTTGCTATGCTAAAGTAAATCTCTCTCTCTCTCTCTCTCTCTCTCAAGTTCCCCCCCTTTTTTTCCTTTCACTCCTGACTCACTCAGTGGTTAGGTATGTGCCAGAGGTTGGGAGTTCAATTCCCCACTGCACCTCCTTGACAGGTGGACTAGATGACCCATAGAGTCCCTTCCAGCAATGTAAAGTGGTGCCCCACACAGCGAGGTTAATCCGTTCCGGATTAACCTTCGCTGTGGGAAACATCGCTGTGCGGGAGGGAAAAAGCCATAGTTCCTATGGCTTTCAAACTCACCGTTCAGCGAAGTTCCTCCATAGGCGGCAGCCATTTTCGCGCCCTCCCCTCGCAGAATGAGGGCGCCAAAATGGCTGCCATCAGCTGTTCGGCGGGTCAAAAATGGCCGTCGGAACAGCCGAAAGGGGCCGGGGCGCAGCGTTTTCGCGCCCTTGGTAAGCAAGGGGAGCGCGCGAAAACGCTGCCGGAAGCCCCGAAATGGTTGGCTTTTTCCCTCCCGCACAGCGATGTTTCCCACAGCGAAGGTTAATCCGGAACGGATTAACCTCGCTGTGCGGGGCACCACTTTACATTGCTGGAAGGGACTCTATGGGTCATCTAGTCCACCTGTCAAGGAGGTGCAGTGGGGAATTGAACTCCCAACCTCTGGCACATACCTAACCACTGAGTGAGTCAGGAGTGAAAGGAAAAAAAGGGGGGGAACTTGAGAGAGAGAGAGAGAGAGAGAGAGATTTACTTTAGCATAGCAAGTTACAGTTAGAGTAAACCTTTTTGAATCAATGGAACTTGATGGAAGAGTTGACTCACTAAATCCCTGTGGATTTAATGGGCCTATTCTAATGCAATTTATTATGGGAAGCAAAAGATTTTGGCTAAGTATAATTCTAAGAAACCATATGGGCTGCAATGATATTCTCTTAAGGGGAAGAATAGTAGAGACGATTCATTCAAGTATTCTGCAAAATGCCCTCTCGGTGGGTTAGGACAGTGAGCAAAAAACATTCTCATAAAACTGTTCTAAAATATCTCTTCCACAAAATGCTTCTGAGCAAATTGATTTATATCTGTGTAGCCAAACAAGCTGGTATGCTTTTTAAGAGATTCCTCTGTCCATAGAAGAGTTTTATGGCTGGATAGCTCAGTGGTTTAGTTATCTGACTGCAAAGCCAGTGGTTGGGAGTTCGATCCCCCCACTGTGCCTCCTATGAGTAAAGCCAGCCTGGGTGACCTTGGGCAAGCTGCACAGTCCCAGAGCACCCCTAGGGGAAGAGAATGGTAATGCACGTCCGGGTATTCCCTACTTAAGAAACTCTGAAAAGGTCACCATAAATCAGAATTGACTTGAAGGCATGCCGTTATTATTAAGGGAGGGAAAACATGTCCCCTGCTCTTATTACAGGTATGGTATTTTTGTTTCTTTTGCTTTTTGATAGCGGAGTTGCCTCGAGCGAAGCAATGGACCTTGCGTTTTGTGGCAACGACAACCGTTTTGCCTACAACATCAGCGGTGGCCTCATCAGGAATGTCTGCTTTCTGGATGCCCTCAACTTGGTACCCCATGTTTTCCTCTTATTTATCACCTTTCCTATATTGTTCATTGGTAAGTAGTTGAGCTGCTGGCTTCTAGACCTCTTCATTTTTTTGCACATAGCTTATAACATTCCTGGTTTTCAGGATGGGGAAGTCAGAGCTCCAAAGTTCAGATCCATCACAACACATGGCTACACTTCCCAGGACACAACCTGCGATGGATCCTGACGTTCACCCTCCTGTTCGTGCACGTCTGTGAAATAGGAGAAGGCATAGTTTCAGATGGGTAAGAGCTTGCATGTCGAGCAATGCCCCTTGCTTACTGTGTAGCATACAGGGCATTTTGGAGAAGGAAAATCTGTTCTAAACCATGTGTGCCTGAAATTATTAAATTTAAAAAAAAAACTAGAAATCTACATTTCCAAGATGTATTACAAGAACAGGCCACTAGAGGGAACCAGAGACTATGCTATGTATAGTGGTACCTCAATTTACGAAGTTAATCCGTATTGGAATGGCATTCGTACGTAAAAAGTTCGTAAGTCAAGGCAAAATTTCCCATAGGAATGCACTGAAAACCATTTAATCTGTTTCGGCTGTTTTTTCGTTCGTATGTCGAGGCGTTGTTCGCAAGTAGAGGTATTAGTTCCCATCGGAACTAATGCAAAGCTGGTTAATCCATACTTTACCACTAGGGGGAGAATTTTTTTTATTTTTTCTTCTTTTGACCTAAGATGAACCTAGGTCAGAAAAGGGGCAGGAAAGGGTTTTGTTTGTTTGTTTGTTTGTAAGTTGAGGCTCCGTTCGCAAGTCAAAGCAACATTTTGCGAATGGAGCTGTTCGTAACTCAAAACGTTCGCACGTGGAGACATTCGTAAGTCAAGGTACCACTGTATACAGGACTTGCTTATCTTCAATTTCTGGCATCCGCGGGGTGGTGGCTTGGAACCCATCCCCCACACAGATATCACAGGCCTCCATGTTGGCTTTATCAGCATCCTGAAGAGAGGAAAAGTATCAGTGCTCTTCCAGGGAAAATATGAGACACTGCCAAGTCTTTAGTTGGCATGTTGGCCAGAAGCACAGAGGTTCACAACTGTGTAAAAGCTTACTATAAGTCTTCATAATAATTACCATAAGTACTACTTCTACCATATTGTTCTTAGACAGGCAGAGTATATGTTGAGGCACAGAGATTCACCTAAGGATGCCTAGTGGATTTGTTGGGGATAAGAGATTTGAATAAGGGACTTCCTGGCTTTGCTGCATCCTTTTAGCCATATCTAACCCGATGTCTGATGTTCCCCATTTTTCCTTCACAGAAAATTGAACACTTGCCATCTGCATCTTTTCCTTCCTGCCGTAATGGGATTTGTAGCTGCAACAACGTCTATTGTGTATTACCACAACATCGAGACATCAAACTTTCCCAAACTGCTTCTGGGTAACTAGTTATATTTTGAAGTATTTTGTACAGTCGCTGCAGACAGTATGTGATTATGATTTGTGAGAGGTTTCCCTGTTATCTCCTTCATAAAAATCAGTGGTGGAAATGGTTGCAGAGTTTTGAATTTCTGGTTCAATTCCTATCGCTGCACAGCTGAAGCGCTGGGATTCACAGAGGAGAATAGCTTCAAGTTCCCCCAATTTAATTCACCCCTATTTCTCGTTAACTGGCACTTACAGTCTCAATATAACTCACTCTGAGACATTAGTAGGGATGGCGGTATTCGTATTCGTATATGAATACCCCCCACACAGGTGGCGATAATGAGGGGCCAGCCCCCCAGGGCCCGACCATCCACTCACAATTCTGCTGCTGCTGCTGGCTTCGGGAGCCTTCCTATTGTGACAAACCCAGACCTACTGGGATCTGCCACACGTTAACTAAGCTGCCACCAACCATTCCCTATAAGAAGTCACACAGACCAGGGATGGATTTTCAACAAATAAAAGAATAAGGTTTATTTAAATCACACACAGGGAAAAATAAAATGATCAGGTGAATAAGATATAGTAACGTGGCTTATTATTATTATTATTA